TGCTAGATCCCAGGTCTCCAGGCCAGGCAAGATGGGCGGTGACCATCACAGACAGTGCTGCAGCCGCCTGGGGGACTYGAGTGAGAGTGGTCCAACGGCTGGAAAATCCAGGGAATGGCAGGGATTAGTGTCTGGGGGTGGAGAGGAGAACCCAGGAGAGGGGATCAGGCTCTGGGTAGCTGGAGATGGCAGTATGTGATGAGGTGGAGTTAGGTTCCTGAGAAAACTAGAGAACCTTGTCAACCTGGCTGGGAAGACTAACTGGGAATCCTGGAGATCCAAGTACAAAGAGTCCTGGCTTTAGACACAGCGGCTCCAGGTGACCCCAGGACTTTGTCCGTGCTCAGCTCTGCTCGCCTCTGCTGTGCCTCCATTTCAGGTGGGCACCTGGAATACTGGGTCATTCTCAGGAAGATGACTGAGCCCACTAAGACACCAGGCCGCCAGTTCAATCACACTGATCAGGAAAGTGGCTCATACATGCACCCAAGGGGCTGGAAGTACTGTGATCAACACCCACCAGAACCCAAGTGGCCTCTGAGCCCCAGAAGCTAGCGAGAACTGGAGCAAAGAAAACTCCAGTAGCCCCACGTCAGTGTGCAGCAAGTTCTTCCAGGACAGGGTGGGGTGGTGGGGTGGCGGGGGACAGGTTCCCAACCCTGGCCACTCCTCACACCATTTCCTGGCAACAAGGAAGCTGGGTGGTGCCTGTGAACTCCACCCAGTGGAGGGACTCCTTCAAGGACCACCATGCTAGTCCCCCCTTCAGGCAACAGGGTCTCTCAACAGACACCCATCAAAGGTCACCATGTGCCTTCACCCAGGTGTTGTTACACAGCAAGTGCATCGGAACCTTCGGCTGTCCAGGGCCTCTGGGCTGACMGCCACAGAACTGAAGGTCCTGCCTCAGTCACTCAACCAGCCATGTGAAGTCTGTCCAGCACTCCCGGGCTCAGTGTCAGGTTTGAYGGCACACTCACTCGGGAAAGGGGCTGCTTGCAACGGGCCCTTCCCTAGCTTTGAGGAACTGAGGGGACTCTTCCTGGTGGTGGACCAGGCAACAATGGGCCTTGTGTCCAGCCTCAGCTGCTGCCTTTTTTCTTTTAGTTGTAGTCGGACACAACATCTTTGTTTATTTATTTTTATGTGGTGCTGAGGATCGAACCCAGGCCTCAAACATGCCAGGTGAACATTCTACCACGGAGCCTCAACCCCAACCCCTCAGCTGCTGCCCTTTCTGTGGGGTTTTGTCCACAGCCCCAGGTCCAGGTGTGAAACCCTCCTGTCCAGTGGTAGTGGTGGGTGCCCTGACCCAGGCAGGCCCAGTGTGGTGGCTGTCCTGCCTTCTGAAGGATGCCCAGGGCTTGATGGGACCTTCCTGGCCTTGGGCTTTTTTTCTTCCTCCCCTTGTTATTTTGACCCTTGTCCCATTTCCTATAAAAGGACATGAAGGACCTGGAGACCTCATAGCTGTGGCTTCCTCACACTGCCTACTCCAGACCAGGCTGGCTGGACTCATGGGCACCTGCCCTCTTTCAGGGGCAGGTGTGTCTACAGAGGCAGGGTCTTGCTCCCTATGGTCCGCAGGGCTGGCACACCCTACATAACCTCACGTGGCCACAGGGCAGAGGCTGCAGGAAAGCTCCTGATCCTTGACCTGAGGAGCTAGGAGGTGGCCCCAAGCAGCCCTCAGTCCAGGGTGGACAGTTGAAGAGGTCAGAGTGCTGGACGGGAAGTGGGCATGGGGCCTGGAGTCGTGCTGCCCTGTTGAGCTGCCAACTCCACCCACTTGTTTTGGTCCCTCCGCATCTTTTCTCCACTTAGCAGCACAGGTGACTGCCAAAGTTCACCCCAACCAGCCATCACACCCCTAATGCCCAACGCTGCAAAGGGAATCACTCTCCAAGTGCCTTTGCCCCTCTCTGGGGCCAGGCCGTCTGAGCTACCTGGGAGCCACCCACCTGGAGGTTCCTTCAGAAGCTGGCAGTTCAAGACCGGTGGTGCTCTCAGGCTGAGGGGCCTACACGGCTCAGAGCCTTAGACTCTAGCTTTTCTAAGTCTCCCTCGCTGAACCCCTTCTAGAATGCCTGGACCCTGCAGCAACACTCTGGCAGGACATTCTTAGGCAATCAGTGGCGAGGCACTGCATTTCCAGGTCACAGCTCAATCCTGCCTGACCTTCCTGCCTCAGGGAGGCTTATGGAACAGCGGCCCTGCTGACAGGCAGACCACACTGCCCGAGCCCAGCATCCGTGGGTCCATGTGGGCCCTGGGAGCTGGCCTTCACCTCCAGGGCAGTTCTAAAGAATGTGGGGAGGCGTCCTGGGGTGACCGCAGCATCTGAGAGTAGCCTGGGGTGGCTAGATGTCTGCCCAGAAATAATGCCAGGACCTGTGGAGAAGKGGCCCCTACTGAACAGGCTAGGGAGGGGGCTGGCCTCGCAGGAAGAGGTGCTCRTGTGATTAACAACTGCCCACTGAATAAAGATGCTTTATTGTGCAAACCCATGAAGGTCCTAGGCCCAGGGCCAAGCCTGCAGACCCAACCTGTCCCTGGCTTCAGGACTGCTCTTTGGTCCCCACCCTGGTGTGAGATTGCCAGGGGCTCCTGTGGAGTGTGCAGGTGTCCATGTCAGTGTTGGGTGGGAAGCCTCCCTGGGCAGCAGGTGCTCAGGTATTGTGGTAGTGTCCAGGTGGAGGTGGGAGGTTGGGGGGTGGGTGGAGAGTCCCACCTGCACAGGCTCAAGGACCACACAGGTCCACACAATCTTCTCCACTGTGGAACACGTGATAGATGCTGGTGGGAGGGAACATGGCAACAGCACCGAGCAGGGAGCCCACCTGGATGGCCACACCAGCCGCTAGCAGTGCTGGCCGCCCCCCGCCGTGCAGCATGGAGCTGATCGCCACCTTSACATATGAGAACACACCTGCACACAGCACCCACGACAACACCTGAGAGGCAGATGACARCAGCAGGCTGAGTGTGAGATGCTCTTGTGCAGGGGCAATCCCCTTCCCCACTTCATGACCCACTGTACCTACCACAAGGACCACGCCTGTAGAGGTGCCCACTAGGGGAGGGCAGGGGCTCAGGATTGCCAGTGCCATCAGGTAGGCCCCAAAGAGCAAGCCTAGCAGAGAGAGACCACACAGCCCTGCCAGGGACCTGCCAGAGAGGGGCAGGAACTCAGGACTGGCTGAGCCAGGATCAGGACCCTACCCCTACATTGTCCCCCACCAACAAGCYTGGGGCCAATGTTCACCTGCATAGTATGCCCATGGCCAGGAAGCAGGCAAGGGGGTTGGCGGAGCTGCCCAGCACCACAGCCAGGTGGTAGGCCAGGCGCCCATAGGGCAGACAGGAAAAGCTCTGCACTGCAGGCAGCACACCGTTGGTCAGTGCGTTGGTGACAGCCAGCAGGCCCAGCAGGCAGGCACCCCGGACTGAGAACAGCTGAGAAGCCTTGGGGTCTGGGAGGGGGCTGCCTGCTGCCTGACTTGGGGATTCCTGCAACGGTGATTCCTCCTCCTCCTCCTCCTGCTCCTCCACTCCTGGTGTTCCCACCCGCAGGCCTGGCCCGGGGCCCCCAGTGGGTACAGATGGTGGTGAAGGAGGCAGCAGCAGCAGGAGACCCTGGAAGGCAGCAGCTGAAGTGACCAGGAGGGCGGTCAGTGCCCAGAAGAATGTGCTGGCAGAAAAACGCTCAGGGAAGTTGATGGGGGGCCCAAGGGTACCATTGGCTGGGGCAGGCAGACACTCAAGGCGACCCACACCCTGCACCAGGGCCAGTATGCAGGGCAGCAGAGCACTGAGGCCCTGACCCAGGAAGAAAGACCGCAAGAAAGGAGGTGGCAAGTGGCTCAGGAAGGGCAGGAAAGTGACATTAGAGGCACAACAGGCCAACGCCAGCACCAGTGTCAGTGTCAGGAAGGCCACTGAGTGGGGCTGCCCCGCCACTGGGGCCACATGGTGCCACAGAGGGGCCAGCAGGGCTGTGCCCACCATACTTAGTCCCTGCACCACCTGGATGGGGACCCGCTCCCCCTTGCCGGGAGCTAGCCGCCGCCACAGGGTCACCATCAGTAGACCCAGGTTCCCCAGCGCCACAAGCACAGAAAGGTACGAGGGGAGGCTCCAACCTGCAGGGGGGTGGGGGGAGGTCTTGTCAGGGGCACCAGGCTGAGGGGCAAAGAGCAGCCTGCCCACCATCCGGGGCTCAACGCCCACCCCACCCCCACTCACCCTCGGGGAGGTCTTTCACCACCACGGGCAGCTCCACCCAGATTCCGTTGACCGCAGCCCAGGAGCCCACACCGAAAAGGGCCACCAGCAGGTGGGTTAGCACCAGCCGGCCCAGCGGAGGTGCAGCCATTGGGCCAAATGAAGGCCCTCCAGGTTAGGGTGAAGGTCACAGACGGTTCTTTACCCACTTAGATTCCAAGACGCGTTGGCTCTTCTGGGAACTGAAGACCCCTTCCAGCTGGAAGGAAAAAGGCAGGCGTGCAGGGCAGAACCAGTACAGAGCACCTGGACAGGCCACCGCGGGGCAGTCAGGAGCTACACATACCACGGAGCCCTCTCGGAGACCAGGACACAGCAAGGCCAGCAAGCCGAGAATCAGGAAACCGGTCCAAGGCGTGGCCAGGAAGAGGGCGAAGGATGGCGCTGACCCTGCTACTCTCGGAGGACCAGCGCCTCTGCGTTAACCAACCACCACCACCACCCTCTCCCCACGACCGCCCCAGCGCCGCGCGCACCTTGGGCTGCGGCGACCCAGGGCTGCCGGCGAGGGCGTGGTCGGGGGCGTGGGTCCCGCGCGGTCCGCGCAGCGGCCTTCCAGCCCCGCGAGCACGCCGCCGGGGCCGGGGACGCGGCCAGCAGGGCGGGACGCCGGCTGCTACGCTCAGCCCCGACTCACGTCGCCCAGGCCGGCCCGCCCCCAGGGCTCGCGGCGGAAGCTCCGCCCCGGAAGCCGAGTTCTGCGACGGGCGCCGGGCCCTGCGGGAGAGGAAGGCAGGGGTCAGTGGACCCCCCCCCCCGCTTCCTCCAGCCGCGTCTTTCCGCTCCTCTGTGCTCCTCCGCCGCGCGGTCGGTGGCCATGGACGCCAGGCGAGCCAGGCGCAGATCCTGGCGCAGAACCCCCGGCCGCAGACTGACCGGGGCGCGGGCTCGCTCGGCCGAGGACTGGTGGTGGGATCGGCTGGCGCCCAGCGGCTCTGAATACCACCTGCTTCAGGCAGACAGCATGTTGCTCGTGCTGCCGGGCCCGGGGCCTGTCCGCGCCCGCGCGCACAGGCGCATCACCCGCCGCGCGCAGCGGCCACAGTCCTCGGGCCCCGCAGCAACTGCCAAGCCCAGGCCCAGGCCCCGACCTGAGCCGGCTCCTGAGCCGGCTCCCGACCCGGAGCAGGGGCCGGACCCGGGCTGGGGAGATCGCATTCCCTTGGAGGTCCTGGTGCACATTTTCGGGTTGCTGGTGGCCGCCGATGGGCCCATGCCGTTTCTTGGCAGGTACACTACACCCCCGGCCCCAGCGCAGACCTGAGTTGGATTTTGAGAGCGAAAGCATCTGAGAGCGCGTACACTAGTGTTCTGGCACCCATCCGCAGCGCAGGATTTCTCATTTGTAGCTCCAGAAGCCTGGCTTTGAGCTGGGGTGGCCACCGCACTGCGAGTGCAGGGGCATGTCGGCCCCTCTTAGGAAACCCATCGCGAGGGTTTGGCGATGTAGCTCAGTGGTAGAGTGCAATGGCCTGATTTCAGTTCCCGGTAGGCAGCTTCACCCGTGAAACGCCGGGCGCCTTTAGTAGTCTGTTCCCCCAGGGCTGCGCGCGTGTGCCGCCACTGGCATGAGGCAGCTTCCCAGCCCGCCCTCTGGCAGACGGTAACCCTGTCGCCCCCGTTGGCTGSCCGCGGTGTCAAGGGCAGCGTCAAGGCGGAGAAGAAGCTCCTTGCTTCCCTGGAGTGGCTCATGCCCAATCGGTAAGAATCCCCTGTGGTCCTTACTCCCTTTTCTGCCTGTGCCTTCCTGCACCAGTGTTGGGTGGGGAGGATGCTGGTCATGGCAGCATGGGAACCTAGTGCAATTGGGCCTCTGCTGTTGCCCAGCTTTTCACAGCTCCAGAAACTGACCCTCATCCACTGGAAGTCGCAGGTGCATGCAGTTTTGAAGGTGAGAGCTAGAAGTTGGCTTGCATACCAGCTGTGTACTTGGAGGGAATAGCCCAGTGCTGCCCCACAGCATGCCCGCCTGCTTGCTTGGATCTCTTTTCCTGTTTTCATCTCTGGTAGGGGGTGGTTAGAGGTAGGGCATCCAGGTAGGCCTCACTTTGAAGAATGCAGGTTATAACAGGGGTCATAGAGTGGGTTGGCATGGCCATCATTGTCTTTCCTGTGGACATTCACCTACCTTACCCCAAACCCAGGCGGTCTTTATTTTCCCACAGCTGGTTAGTGAGTTCTGCCCTCGGCTCACCTTTCTCAAGCTTTCAGACTGCCACAGTGTGACCACGGATGCTCTCATCATGCTAGCCAAAGCCTGCCACCAGCTCCACAGCCTGGACCTACAGCACTCCATGGTGAGCCCTGTGTCCCAAGGGACCCTGAAGAAGCCTAGGTAGAGGTGACAAGTAGCTCTGTGTTGGGTCCCCAGGTGGAGTCCACAGCTGTGGTGAGCTTTCTGGAGGAGGCTGGACCCCGAATGCGCAAGCTGTGGCTGACCTATAGTTCCCAGACAACAGCCATCTTGGGTGCACTACTGGTAGGCTGGTGACTGGGCAGGAGCAGAGCCAAATGCTAAACTGGGGACTGCCAGGCTGGTGACCCAGGTATACTCTCCCACTCCTGCAGGGCAGCTGCTGCCCCAAGCTCCAGGTCCTGGAGCTGAGCACCGGCCTCAACCGCAACAACACTCCTCTGCTGCTGCCTATTGAGGCTCTGCAGAAAGGCTGTCCCCAGCTGCAGGTACCTGATGACTTGCTTCTTACACCTGCCACCCCATCCCCACCTGCAGCCTGAGCCTTGTCCCCAGGTACTGCGGCTGCTGAATTTGATGTGGCTGCCTAAGCCTTCTGGGCGAGGGGCAGCTCTGGGACCAGGCTTCCCCAACCTTGAGGAGCTCTGCCTCGCCAGCTCCACTTGCAACTTTGTGAGCAACGATGTCCTGAGTCGCCTGCTCCATGGCTCCCCCAACTTGCGCCTGCTGGATCTTCGGGGCTGTGCCCGCATCACGCCTGCTGGTCTGCGTGATCTGCCATGTAAAGGTCAGCTGTCCTATTTGGTGGCTGGGCAGGTGGGATGTGGGGACCCTTGCTTTTCCTGTGGCCAACACCATTCCTGTCACCTCAGAGCTGGAGCAGCTGCACTTGGGCCTGTATGGTGTGTCTGACCGGCTGGCTCTAGCTAAGGAGGGCAGCACCCTGTTGACTCAGAAGTGGCATCACACCCTGCGGGAACTGGACTTGAGTGGCCAGGGCTTCAGTGAAAAGGACCTGGAGCAAGCCTTAGCTGCCTTCTCTGGCACCCATGGAGGCGCCCACCCAGCCCTCTGCTCCCTTAACCTCAGGGGTACCCGGGTTACAGCAAGCACGATCAGGTTAGCACCCATCCCCCAGGCCCTTGAAGCTAGTACTGCTTGTGGCCCAGAGCTGGTGTGCCACCTTGCTCAGTACCCCTGAGGTCTGGGAGGGAGTGGATACTTGGCCTTGGGAACACTAAGGGTGCTGGGTTTGAGCCTAGTTMGCTGTGGGTAGTAGGCCAGGGGTAGCGCATAGGCAAACAGGGATCCCTGGCTGAGCCCAGCCTTCTGGGCCTGCATCTTCCTGGCAGCAGCTTACTTTCCCATGACTTGCCCTACCCACAGCTCTGTGATCAGTAGCTGCCCTGGCCTGCTATACCTCAACCTGGAATCCTGCCGCTGCCTCCCCAGGGGCCTGAAGCGTGCCTACCGAGGCCTAGAGGAAGTCCAGTGGTGTCTGGAGCAGCTACTCACCAGCCCCTCCTCCTCCAGCTAGGCAGTTCCAGCTCTGCCTGTACGCTTTCCCAGTTTGGGATGTTTAAACATTTTGTTACAGTAAAATATTTTTAGGAACTCTGTGTGGTCCTTGGGTGGCCCCTTGGGTGAGAAATGGGGTTACATCTGATGGAGCACTGTAGGCTGCAGCAGGCAGGAGTCGGTATGTGGGGGCCCTCTGGAGCCTGACTGGGCTGCACCTGGTCTCTGCTGGGTTCACACTTTGGACTGTTGTGTGTCCCACCTCAAGACCCTGAGTGAGCTGGGTCAAGCATGCTGAAATCCCAGCAGCTGGGGAGGCTGAGCAGAGGGGCATTACAAGCTTAAAACCAGCCTCAGCAACTTAGACCTTGTCTGAACAAGTAGAAAGGGCTGGGGATGCTCATGGTTAAGCACCCTTGAGTTCAATCCCTGGTCCAAAAAAAAAAAAAGGCACTGAGTGAGCTGTCCCTGGGTATGTCCAGCTGTCCACCCCTCAGTGTGGACTGAGTGGCTGCACAGGGATTGCCGAGTACTCATACACACCCACGGAGATGGGATGGTTAACAGAGCAGCCCCTTCTAGAACGTGCCCCAGAACTTCTAGAACTCCTGTGTGGCTCAGATGGTACCGATACCTGGCTTGCTGCCCTAGCACTGCCAGAGAGTACCTGTTCCTTCTTGGACCGCAGCCCTGGAGGCCTTTTTCTCCCGGGTATGAGCACGACTGCGGTACTGGGCGATGTCAGTGAACTGGCCGCCAGGATGACCACCTCTTCCTAACAGGTTCCCAAGGGCCGGGGCAGTGGCCTGCCCACGACCTCTGCCGGAAGTCCTTTCCATCTCTGGGCCCTGGGATTTTTGTGCACAGAGCGCCACCTGGCCAAGCGCCTCAAGAACAACGGCTTTTACCCGTTCACGCAGCAGCAGCCAGGCGGTGTGTGGGGCGGGGCCTCAGCCCTGCGCAGGGGCTCAGGGGCGGGGCGGGCAGGTGTACCCGCCCGCTAGCCGGTAGCCCTGGCACTGCCCATCCACCACCGACACACCACACCCTCCCCACCCCTTGTCCTCACACGCACTGCCGGTCCACCTACAGTCTTCGTGCTTGAGTACTACCTGGACACACTCTGGAAGGGACTGCTGCTCTTTGYCATCTGCCTGGTCCTGGTCTGCTCCGGCTTTGTGAGACAGGTCCGAGTCCTGGACCCCGCCCCCATGACCCTTATCCCCTGAGGGCCGGASCAAGCTGTTCCTTGCACCCTGCAGCCCTAGCCTGCAGCCTCTGGTTTGGTTCGTGGTACCCGCAGGTGGAAAAGCAGGAGACCTGGGGCTTCCCTGCCTATGGCATGGTCGTGGGCCTGTGGCTTATGATCTCATCGTTGCCGCGGCGCCGCCTGGTGCTGAACCACACGCGTGGCATGTACCACTTCTCCATCCAGGGACGCACCGTGTGCCAGGGGTCCATGCACCTGGTCTACGTGCGCCTGGCGCTCAGCTCTGATGGTGACCTGGGATGGGTGGGCTTGGGGAGGGTGTGTGAGGCAGAGGATAACCACCTGGGAGTGGGTGGGGGCAGGCAGGGACCTGCTGCTCTGCCTCAGAGACTCAACCCAGCTGAATCGCTCACTGCTCCCTAGCCTACGGAAGGTGCTTCTTTCAGCTGGTCCTTTGCGGCCATAAGCTGGAACCGCTGGTGCTGGTGCAGCTGTCTGAGCGCTATGAGGTGGGTTCTGCCCTAGACACAACTCCCTTCTCTGGACATAATGACACAGACCACTGTTTAGGGTCATTGGATGGGGGATTTTGCCCGCAGAGGGTAAATATAGCTTGAGTGGCTGGGGGGCAGGGTTGGGGACACCYAAGGGCCTGGCACCACGACCTGTTTATACACTCCCACAGCAAATGGAGTACCTGGGCCGTTACATCGCTAGGAAACTCAACATCAACTACTTCGACTATCTGGCTACCTCCTACCGGCATGTGGTCCGTCACTGGCCTCTGGGGGCCTCCTTTAGCCCAGGCATCGTTCTTCGCAAGAAAGGCGTCTACAGCAGGCCAAGCAGCTCTCAGTCTGACCTGGAGGTGTGACCCTGGGCCTGCCCCCTACAGTTATGGTCCTATYCCCTACATCCTCCTATCCTGCCTGTAGCTCATTCCACCCCTGCCCTTGGGTGGACTCAGGCCAGTCCTGCTCACTGGTCTTTCTCTGAATAGAGCTGCCTCTAGCTTCCACCAAGTTGTTTTTGTCTGTGTGGTGGGGGGAGTCCCTTCAGAGTCCTCCCCTAGGGCAGGCTTCTCAGGGCCTCAGGACCTTGTCCTCTCCAGAGGCTGCAGCAAACCCCAGAGCAGGGGTTAGAAGAGGAGAGTTCGTGTAGCCGAGACTCAAGGAGGCTGATGATCACAGGACAGGCTTAGGACTGTCGCCCCTCTTGGCCAGCAGCACTTAACCTGTCCTGCCTGGCTACAGACAGTGGGATACAGGAGCCAGAATCTGATGGGTCCAGTCGGGGTAGGTGGCTAGGGGACGTGGCAGAGCCAGGGAGGACAAGCCCTCGGGTACGGGTGCACCCTGAACTGCAGTGCAGAGATATTGTTGCACACTTCCTAGGGAATAGCCTCCAGAGTCCTCCCCTAGGGTGAAAGACCTGTTGACACTTGCTCTCTGGGCATGCTGGAACCCCCTTGCCCAGCAGAGCACCCCAGCTTCTGCTTCAGGCATCTCGTGCCTCTTGGGTGCTAGGGCTGCTTGGGAGCAGAGAAGGCAGTAGGCTCATACACCGAGGAGGAGTGGTGCTTGTCATGAGCATGTGCTCTCTGTTCACCTTTTTTTTTGGGGGGGCGGGCGGGGTACTAGGGATTGAACTCAGGGSCACTTGACCACTGGGCCACATCCTCAGCCCTATTTGTTATTTTATTTAGAGACAGGGTCTGGCTGAATTGCTTAGCGCCTCGCTTTTGCCGAGTCTGGCTTTGAACTCATGATCCTCCTATCCTCCTGAGCTGCTGGGATTACAGGCAGTGCCACTGGGCCCAACTCTGTTCAGTTTGTCTTTGACTCAGGGCTTGGGCATTGTGTCCCTGGAACCCAGGACCAGCTACTTAATCTGTGGGGTTCCAGACAATGTGGAGACGTGTGCTTCCATGGTAGAGCACATTTTTAGTACATAGGAAACTCTGGGTTCAGTCCTCAGCACTCCAAAATAAAGAGGGAGAGGGCCAGGGGAAGGAACCTGGGGTTGAGAGACCCCCACAGCTAGTCCTTGCAGTGGGAAACCACTGGGGATTGTGAGCAGAGAGGCCCTATGATCCAGGAAAAGAGTGATCAGGAAGATCCAGAGACTGTAGGAATTAGAAAGAAGGGACCAGGCAGGTCAGAGGGGGAGGATAAAGATTCTGCTGAAAAGCAAAGCCCACCRAATTTCCTGGCTGGATATGGGCTGAGAAGCCCAGCCATTCCCTGGGACAGCAGGGTGTGTGGCCTGGGCGAGTGGCCATGGGAGGCCGGGCTGGGAATTGTTGGAGTTCTGAGCTAGGAGGTACTGTTTATTTTTTGGTGATGGGGGCCTTGCACAAGTTAGTCAAGTACTCACCCTCTGTGTTTAGTTAGTCATATGGTCACACAGAACAGACTGTATTTTCCAGTCTCTGCGGCAGATCCATACAGGTGTTTGTAAGAGTCATTCCTGGCCCATGCAGTATAACAAATGTATGTGATTTCCAAAAGTTTCCTTAGCAGGGAAGGTTTTCCAGGCCTCACCATTGCCTCTTTTTGTGGGCTGGAACCCCCCTGACGACTGCAGCCCAAGCAGCCAGCTGAGCCACGATGTGGATGTGGAATGTGGCTGAGGATGGCAGAACAACAAGATGGATCTGTGGAGCTGGACAACTGGGGCTGCCCATAGAGCTGACCCTGGAGGGCTCACACTGGACACTCTGTGAAAGRGAAAACTTTCCGCAGTTTAAACTGTCATCATTTGGGGGTTTCCTAGTAAGACGAGCGTAGCTCTGACGGTAGAGGGTGTTAGAAGGCCTTGTTTTTCTTCCTGGTGTGGGACGGAACCCAGGGCTTTGTGCCTTCTAGGCAAGTGCTGCACCGGGGGGCTACACCCTCAGTACTTTTTAAAACTTTTATTTTTTTGTAGTACTGGGCATTGAACCCAGGGTGCTGTACCATTGACTTACACCCCCAGCTATTTTATATTGCTACATTGGTTGACCTTGAAATTGTGATCCTCCTGCCCCGGCATCCTGAGTCACTGAAATTACAGGTGTGTGCCATCACACCTAATGCATTAGAAGAATTTCAGCGGGGAGGGGGAAGAAGATATGAAGCAGTTTTCTCGAGGAACGGGGGGCAGCTGGTCAAGGAGAGTGTAGCAGGATGGCCTGACAGCGCGGCCTGCCCGATGTGATGTGCTTCATCACATGAAGGGCTGTGAGTAGGGTCRTGCGTTTTCTCCAATAGAGTTCTGCTGTTTAGATGCTGGTGCTTAACCAGGACTGTGCTTAGCCAGGACAATGTGAGAGTGACTAGGATTCTGGCCCATGGAAACCAATCTGGGGGAGCCAAGGGCTGGTACCAGCTCTCTTACTACATCAGCAASCACTCTGAACACAGGGTCTTGAACCAGCAAGGGTGGTCCTCTGCCCTAACCTCTTGTGCTGGCATGGCTGAGCTGGGTGGTTCTACTTCCCCTGTGGGGCTGGGATCCCCTTCGTGGCTAAACCAGCTGGAAGCTCACTGGGTCCATGATGTCCAACACAAGTCCCACCCTCCAGGGCCGCTTCCGAAATGGTGTCATACAGCAGACCCTCCTGGGCTGGCTTCCAGAGGTGTGGGACCAGAAAACAAGCCCCAGCAGGAAGCTGACTGTGGATGCCTCAGGTCAGCCAGTCCACAGGAGTGGGCCGCAGGCCTCTGCAGGGTCTTCAGGTGCAGAGACCTGTGATCCAACAGCCAAGGCTCTTCCCTACACACTCTGCATGGATGGGGGTCTTCCAGGCACACTTCTGTGGGCACAGTGGGGACTGGGTGKTGTATTGGCCTCTCACCAGCCAAGTACAGAAGAGG